GAAAAATTCCACTCCTTCAACTCCCAGTGGAAGACTCCCCATACAAAGAATGCACAACTTTGAAAAACATCTCTCTGTATATAATATTGAGCAACAAAAAGAATTGGTAGAGAGAAATAAAATTTGATATAATTTTTCGTTGCATTTATTTTGCATTTTGGTGTAGGTAGGTACTCCTGATAAATTAAACAGGCAAATGAATATTAAAAGGATAATAAGAATTTTATGATAAAGGTAATAAAAAAATACCTATTTTACTATTCAGTAATTGTTTTAGTGGTGTTATTCTTATTCTAAGAGAAGAAGATATACAAAGATAGATAGATAGATATACAAATTTTATGACCAATTTAATTTAAATGATAAATAAAACCCAACAATTTATTGGTTTGAATAATATGTCAAAAGAATTTTTAAACATTTCTGAGAAAACTAAAATGCATAATCAATTTTTTTTCGATTTTATTTTCAAAATTAACATGAATTATTCTGATTGAGGCCTTTTTAACTTTGAACTAAGTGTTCAAAGTTCAAAGTGATAAGTATCCAAAAAAGTTTTAAGTGAAAGTGAAAGTTACTACTAAGGTACTTAAAATATGAGTCAAAGGTTGGTAGGTATAGGAAGAAAAAAAAACTTTAATAAATCAGTCTCAGAGAAATAAGGAAACTTCTCATGGAAATTTGGAACACTATTTTTTAACACCCTGTATATGAGGGTGGTTTTATGTTTATATATTTCACTGATATTATTATTACAAGAAAACATTTCAAGGTCACGCGTCACTAGGTTCTCAACTATAGTTTAAATTGTTCTGATTAATGAAAATTATGCTTAAATGTTATTTATATTTAATGAATATGTTTACACAAATAATATTAGTTAATATTGTTAAAATTCATTTTCTTACCTTTTTATATCAGTAGGTAAATTGTACAATTAGTACCATCATACACTAGTCAGTACTTATTTATTAAACCTCTATCGGTACACACAAAATACACGTACAAACACCGAACAACACTTTGTCTATTCGCAAACGTACACTGGAATGTAAATACATTCGAAGCGAAATTTTGCTAAATACTGGGGATTGTTTTTTTAGGAACCGAATACCGCAAGAAAAAGGAGTCAGCACTGACGGAGTACTGGTCAATACTGAAATAATTAGGAAGATCGAGTTAAGAACTCATCCATCGCGTAGTTTCTCTACCTACCATTGCAGAGTGCAACAATAAAAGCTGTAAGGGATGCATCGAGCGACAGGGGCGTACTCGACATTTTTTTACCAATTTATTTTCTAATCTATTAAAAAATAAAATAAATGCATTGTTCAGGCATCTGTAGACGTTAGCAATGTATGGCTATCACTTTTTGATTTTTCATAGAACTCATAAACAATACAAATATTATAACAATATATATTGTAATATATAACAATAAATATTATAATAATATAAAATATAATAACAATAATAATTCGCAATATAAACCTTATTAAAAATATTTCATGTGCAAAAAACTATTAATTAGGATTGATTGACGTCATCGTTCAGACATGACATAAATTATTCGTTCGTATATGACATAAATCAGGATTGATTTATCGTTCATTTGTTTTTGGCGACTTCCTGTGTCACTGGAAATGACTACAACTTTTGATTTTTAAATGGCACCCTCGGTATATTTCTACTTTATTCGATAGAAAATGACACTCTGAAAAGAATGACACATCATATGTCAACTTTTGAAATTTTTGCTTAAAAACAAATCGTATTTTAAATATCAATCTAGAGTGCCATGGCTGTGTTAAAAACACTAATTTTTAATTAAGGAGCCTTGGAAAAGTAGTTTTGATCGTCTAATATTTTTCGTGCCTTGTACTGGCGGGTTAACAGATGCCTAAATCGTATTTTTAATCATATCTGAACTTTTTCAAATGAAACAAGGGTGGCTCATTAGCATATTTGGAAAAAGCATTTTTTACGAATAATTTGGTACCACACACTTGCTATTTTGGTCAAATTTTCTTTATGAACCGCATGTTACAATTTCAAATAAACCATACCTACGCGAAAATGTCAAAGGTTGACATATGTCATTCTATTAAGAGTGTCATTTTCTATCGAATAAAGTACAAATATACCGAGGGTGCCATTTAAAAATCAAAAGTTGTAGTCGTTTCCGGTGACACAGGCGACTTCCTGTGTCCAAACCAAACCAAACCAAACCAAAAACAAATGAACGATAAATCAATCCTGATTTATGTCATATACTGAACGATGACGTCAATCAATCCTAATTTATGTCACATACTAACATGCCAAATCTCGTTTTTTTATCTGAAAAAATAAAAAGTTATAGGGGTAAGCCACTTTTGAGACGCACCCGGTATAATGTCTGGTATTAATAAACGTATCTGTGCAAAGAAACTAAAATTTCCTTGAAGTAGTTTCATTTAGACATTTTAAATATATTTTTTATTTTTACTGCTACTTAGTGCTATAGTTTAAAATAATATACGATTAAAATAATATACCGGCGTCAAAGACGGCTGGGGAATGATAATCGATGATAATTTTGGATGTAAGGATGTAATTTATTTTTATATTCAGTGAAAATGATTTTTAAATGATCTAGTTTAAAATTCGAGAAAAAGTATTTTTTTAAAAATAGAGAAGTTTTATCCTCTTTTAATTTTTCCTATAACTAGTTTTATGCCAAATCATCATCGATTGTCATTCCCCGTCACACTTTGACGCCGTTTTTTTTTCGACCATACGGTATTTACTGGATTTCCGACTTTCACTGTAACATACCAAATTGGTATCTAGTTCTGTTTTAGCTGGATGTACCGCAAAATATTTTAAAAGATTATACCTTGTGACACTAAAATTGTCACAATTTTTTTTTGTCGGTACGGACCTGCTTGCTCATTACAGTAAGCCGACCGAGCTGAGCGTTACCTCGGATCGGCACGTGATGCGTCCGTGCGATTTTCGCCCTTCGGTACTCTTGACACAATGGCGTTTATCATGGACAGATGCCGCACAATACCGCCCCCTTGCGACTTGACCCTCGCTAGGCTCATTGTCTACCACAGTGACGTCAGACCGAGTTGTTTGAGAGACGCCAACTTTTCGATAGCGGCGTAGTAGTAGAACCCCATCAGAGGATTCTTTTATATATGTTAGGAAAAGTACTGTAATGGGTACTGACACTATACAAGGTGTAAAAATATTAGTGTAATAATTTTCAGTGGGTGATTCTACAGATTAAAATAAAACAAAACAATTCTATAAACATATTGATTTAAGTAAGAACAATCTTTGGATTGCACCGTGATTTTTAATAGGACACTGTATCCTCAATGAACACCACAGTGGATTGAAGCTAAGAAACAACGGCAACAATGCAGATTCTGTAGGGAAAATGGGGTAACACCAGAACACTTCATCACCGAGTGCGCCAAGACGACAACCATTCATGTCATAAACTTTGACTGATCTCGAAGATGGAGAACTAACCTCTGTAAAACCGTCCCAGATATATACTGGCTTTTGCCAAAGCCCTGAAACTGTATGATGAGTTATAACTCAAAAAGGGGGACACAATAGAAATATAAGATCCCCCCTCCCGCATACAATACGAGCTTTCCGAGAAAGTTAATACTCTTGAAAGGGTAGTTAAAAATAATACAACACTTGTAAACTGTTTTATTTAAAATTTGGTTTCTTAAATACATTTTAATGGCATGAATGAACAGTGTGTGTCAATAGATTTTACACTCCTGTTATGGAACAAGAGCAAGACAGAGTTTCCGCAGACGGTCAATCTACTCGCATCTTCTAACATTGCTTCTTAACGGGCTGTTTAGACTCAATGACTGTAACTTCGCTCATAGGAATTTTTTATTTATTTTTTTTTGTATTATCACCCACTGAAGTTTGATATACTATGTTTTTACACCCTGTATATTATTATACATTTAATATGCAGTGTAACGGATATCAATAATTTTTTGAATGATTTGGTTATAGTAGAAAATATCTGTCAAAGAAAAAAGCTGACAAACCTCCGCCCATTTTATATCTATTTCAGTACCAGTATTTTGCTTCCACTCGTTAATTTTTTCAAAGGTAACATAATTTTGAATTGGTTGAATTCGATTGACGAACATTTGGACGGACAAATATTAGGGACAGACATCGTGAACAACGGACGTCTGGTCACTTTATCTGCCACAGAAAATATTTACGGTGATTTAATAATCACCCTGTATGATATAAATAAAATTCAAATACTTTTTTTGAGTATTATTCTAATATCATCTCTGAAACCATTTCCCTGGGGCGCTATTTTGTACACGGCATCGACAATCGTCTATTTCGATAAGTTGCGATAGCACTGGGTACGTACGACCAATGAGCTTCGTGATTAGAGCGCTTGCACATACACCGGTAAAATCGGTGCCGGAGCCGGCGCCGGCTTTGCACCCGTTCCGACAGTTGTATTTAATTCTATTGTATTTGCCGGTCCACGACTATTTTACCGGATCGGACTATATGTGAAGGAGCTAATTTATTTTTATTGCAATAGTACCGACACACATACCGCCATCGATTTTGCCGGTGTGTGTGCAAGCCCCCTTAAGGTAGTATCTTTATGTAGTAAAAAGGTGTTAATTATTGTTGTTAAAGTTTTAGTTGTCGTTAATAGGGTATCTATCTAGCAAATTTGTACCGACGAAGATCGGCATTTCTACCGTGCCCTTGTTAACCCCACGGTAGAGATAATCGGTATCTCGTCGGTACAAATTTGCTATATGCCCTAGTAGCGACAGCTAAAACTATGACAACAACAATTAGCACCTTTTTATGCCGTGGACCGAATAGCGCTAAAGAGAATGAAAACACGAAAAACATTTTATTTGACATTTAACAACAAATCAGCTGATTTTTTATTATTGTTATGAATCTAGTGCAAACCTAACCTCACTTACCATTTAATGCTTCGTTTCTTCAAGTTCCTCGCCAGTTGTGAAGCATTCGACGTCCTGCTTCTATCCTCACGATTATCATCGCATTCTTCATGTTCTACTTGTTGTACTTCTTCTTCATAATTCGCGTTTTCTTCGTACATATAAAGATCTTCATCGTCATCAGGATTTTTTGCCAGCATTTCCGCATTTTCAAATTCCTCCGTATTATATTCCTTCGAATCATCTAATTCCTCATTAATTTCATTTTGAGCTGTGTCATTGGTGCTTGGTAATTGTGTTTCTCCCGCCAATTTTCTTTCTTGCACCTCAGAGTCATCTGGCGCTTCGAAAGTACAAGATTCCTGACATTCTTCGGTTGATTCTGGTGGTTTTGGAGAAAATACATCATCACTAGCACCGTTTATGTCTATTTCTTCCGAATTTCTTACACCCGCCATAAGAAAAAACGCGAAAATTAGAAAATCGCGGATTTGGGTCACTGTCAATTTAGTGTTTCACGTAACTAAAATTTATTTTTGTCCGTTTGCATTCTATTAAAGAACGGATACAGAAAAAAAGGCCATTCATTGAGCACAGTTTAACCGAGTTGCGTAGCAATGTTTAGGTTTAAACGGGAATCAAAATATTTGCTTTTGCGGAATATTGATCCAGATTTAGTTCAAGGTAATGTAGGGGACTGTATAACGCGACGCGACGCGGCGTCGAATCAGAGAAGTCGCCGCACGATATTTTTTGAACTTTGGCGCTTTTGCGTTTGCCTAACCCTGAGATAACTGGCAGGCAGATATCCCTAGAAACTCGCGTTTTTTTGCCGAAATACTAAAAAGACTTTTCCTAGAGTTTTTTTTTGAGTTTTCTAGGTTGTTAGGCTCGATTGCAGAGTTTGGCAACGTTGGAGAGAATTGTGTTAGGGTGGTCACGAAAAATTGAGGCAAAACTAGAAAGTATTGTACATCAAGGATCACAGGATCTAACGGCTTCTTCCAGTCTTCCAGTAATAGAGGTATTTTTAGAAAAGCATTCAAATGATAAAACACACTTTCACGTTTAAACTATTACTTTAAAACCAACTTTTTTTCTTTTCTTTCGAAAGTCTACCATGACAATACAAGCGTCCGTCGTTTCTTGTTCACTGGCATTGGCATCTTAATTATTAGATGTTAAACATTTGGTATTATGGAATTCTGGTATAATATCGAATTAGAATTAATTAACAGTGTCTAATTGATTTTTTATTAAAATGGTCATAATCAAAGTGGCCTACTAATTTTTTGTTTTTATTATATTTTTGCTAATATCTTCAGTTTCTTAGTGGAGCACCCGATATTAATAATGTCTAAGTTTGCTAGCTAACTATAGTTTTTTTATATGTATTTTGTTAAATTATATGTAAAAAATCTTAAAAATAAAGTGTTTTCAGTATTGTAATTTGATAATAAAAGTGTAAACGGTAAAGCTTCCTTCTGAATGAGGCTCTATTCTAATTTTTTTAAATTTATTTTTATTTAGAGACTCTGTTCTATACTCTGTTCCATTTTCTACAATGTTTAATGGAGTATATAGAGATTTAATATTTTCCATACCACCTTAATAGACACTTTAGCTCATTGAACTCTACATAGTTGCCAAATAGCTTCCTATTTCCATTTACAGAACTTTAAGCAGCAAGGAAATCTTCCCCAATGTTTCGATTTGTATTTTAAACAGAGTTTTAGTAGATCCGTTGATGCATAGATGGCAGTAGTGGCACTTTTTCGCTGGGTATTTTGCCGGAAACTCGAGACCAACCCGGAATAGGGGCATTGATTTTGTAATAAAAATTTGTGATGTGAGAGCCGTAAAAGTCTATTTCTGTATTTTGTAACGGTGCTATGGAAATGGGAAATTCTTTGATGGTTTTGTAAAGCGATTCTTGTGGATTTTCTCTATTTTCTCGTTTCTCTATGAAAAGACGACAGTGGAAATTCGTTGCACGAGTACTTTCTCAGAAAATAGAGGGGAGGGAAATAGGGCAGAAAATAATTTAGTTAATTAAATTTAGGCTTAGGAACCGGAAGTCGCAGTGGATTTAGGTCATTCGGTTTCATGAAAAATATATAATTGAAGTTTATTTTTTATTATATACAGGAATCCCTAGTTTATACGCTTTTGCATTTTTGACACTAGTGTGTTATTTTACGTGGTTTACTTATACAGGTTTTTATTAATTCCATATTACATAGGTAACATAAACATAAAACTTAAGGTTAAAGTATCACGACACTATTTATTTAAACCAAAAACTCGTAATACAAAACTAAAGTGTCAAAACTAATGACAATTGTTAGGAAATAAATAAATAAATGCGACAACTTGACATTTTTTACAGCAGAGCTACACCACCTGAAAGAAAGACAGACACTTAACCAAGTCAGTGTCAAAGACAGAGACGGTCTTATAATTGAATATCGCTGATATGTTTTCAACAAGAATGAAGCGAATTTGCTTATCCACATAGTATTTAATAAATTCAATGAATATTAACAATCCTCAACAATATTGCAAAAATCTTCTGTTTTCTAATACTAATTTTTGTGTGTATCTATTATTTAATCTTTGATCTATTTGTTAAAACAAACTATACCTAATAGAAAAGGCAAAAATAAATAAGGTATATTTATTTCACATTTGTTCAAACATACTCAAACAGAATACGTACCCAGCTAATTCATATTTCTCAGAAAAGAAAACATGTTCCCTCTTCAAACTAGTCAATATAAGTCCCATTCTACCCTAAAGCGGTATTCATAAACGACATACACGTTCCTTCATAACATGTAGGAAAATATTTGAAAAAGAGGGAGTGGCCTAAATTTAATATCTCTATGATGATATACGGGTATATACCCTTCGCAGATTTCTAGGGTCTAATATAGGGAACGCTATACGAAGGCACTTATTTATTTAATAAAAACATGCTGAATATTATATATTTTCTTAACTTTGTAAAATACAAGTAGGAAAAAATACGGCAATAGAGTTATAATATAAAGTTTTCTATCGTATGTAAGTATAAGCAATTTTATATAAAGCTTCCTTTAATTCTGACGACAAACGGACTAAAATGAATATAAATGGGTGAAAATATCTCGTAGTAACTTACTAATAATTTTTTACAATGCCTAAACATTCAAAATATACCGCACCGATATCAACTGCTTCTTCAAGTAATAGGCACTTTTTCAAAGATATTTTTTGATGAAGCAGTGAAATGCTAAAAAATGCTTTTGAGACTTGGAAATAACAATTACTTGAAATAACTAATAATTAAATTAATAATTTTAATTTGTATTTAGGTAAATTAGGTCCTAAAAAACTTATAATGAACCAATTGATACTTATGGAGCTTTTTTGGAACATGCTGTATATTGTTAGAGAAAAGAGATACTGTGAATTGAATTTTTCGAATGAAAAAATGAATAGAATATATGAATCGAAGTGGTACAAAAGGCTTTCGATCGACATAAACAAGGAAGTTGTATATGAACGAATTTCCGTTCAGAATAAATGAGTTCGTTACGTGTCCGTGTGTATGTGAATGTGTATGTGCTTTGCCAAAGAGGAAATGGGGTATTTAAAGTTGTAAAAACTCGAATTCCGACTATATAGGCAGTATTATTCATATTTGTGCACTGGATCTTGTTTGAAACATTGTATAATTCTATAATTGTATATATTTTAGTGTATAAGTGGCATACTTTAGACCAAAATACCATAAAACTGTAAAACTTGCTGCAAATATCAAAATTTATAATTAAAATAAAAAAGTGTTTTTTTAAAACCTAACACACACCGGAAAAATCAGTGCCGGTGCTGGTGCTGGAATCGATAACTCCTAAAATTTTTTAACACCCCCAATAACTTTTTTATTTTTTCAAATAAAAAAACCAGTTTTGGTGTGTTAGTATATGACATAAATTAAGATTGATTAAAAATTGACAATTGTTTTTGGTCACTTCCTGTTTCACCGGAAATTACTACAACTTTTTATTTGACATTTTCGCTTAAAGAAAAATCGTATTTTAAATTTAAATCTAGAGTGCCATGGCTGTGTTAAAAATACTAATTTTTAATCAACAAGCTTGAACAAGAAAAATAGATTTGATCGTCTAATGTTTTTCGTGTCTTGTCCTGGCCGGTTAAAAGATACCTAAATCGTATTTTGGCTCATTAGCACATTCGGAAAAAGCATGTTTTTACGAATAATTTGGTAACACACACTTGATATTTCGAGTCAAATTGTCATCGTTATGCACCGCATGTTACAATTTCAAATAAACCATATGCGAAAATGTCAATAGTTGACATATGATATGCCATTCCGATTTGCACAAGTAACTTGTTGCATGAAAACCGAAATCGCAAACTTGCACAAGCCAAAAAGTTTGACTTGAGTGAATCTGGAGCGGCCAGATAATTTACTTGTGGTTGGCGCAAATGCATGAACGTATAAACGACACTCCAACTCTTTAACTCAATCGCCTACTTCCGCGCATGTCTGTAGCAGCGAATTTTGTGTCTTATTTACTTGTATCCGGCTTTTCCTTTTGAATATTTGTTGTTATTTTATTTATAAGGCGTTAAAATAATGTCAAACAAAAAGGAACTTATGGGAGAGGATTATTAAAACACCTGCTGCTGCCAGTAGTTCGTCTTCTTGGTCCATTATTCTGCACACACTTCACAATAGTTGAATCGCAACTATTCAGGTCTACTCTATTGGTTCACTTGTCCATTAATTTGTGCAGTTCAAACTGAACGTTAAAACGAAGACACCAATTCAGTTCGATTTGTGCAAATTTGCATGCATAAATCAATTTGCGCAAGCTGATTGAACGTGAAAACGGACCTTAAGAGTGTAGGGACTAAAACGTAGTAGTGTAGACAGCAATACAATTACATTTGATAATCATAAAATCGTAGGTTGACAGCTTAAGGTATGTTGACATTTGTTGTTATTTACATCAACAAATCTCACCTTCTTAATAGCACTTAAGGGCAGGGCCGGCGGAAGAAAAATATTGAGACCGGGCGAGTACCATATCTGCCCCCCCCCCCATAGTTATTATAACTCTCTCTTTCCTTCAATACTATACTTAAACTACAACTAAGCATATTTATTCTACTTTAACAATAAATTTTTACTTTAAGATATTTCAAAATTCTTCTCTTCGTTCAATCTTAGTCTACGGTTGTTGTTTTTTCTACACCGGGTGCGTCTCAAAAATGACTCACCCCTATAACTTTTTTATTTTTTTTTAGATAAAACATCGAGATTTGGTATGTTAGTATATGACATAAATTAGGCTCGATTGACGTATTTTCGCTTAAAAAATGTATTTTAAATTTCAATCTAGAGTGCCATGATTATGTTGTGCGTAAGTGCCATGATATTAAAACACTGATTTATTAATTTACAAGGAGCATTGGAAAAATAGATTTGATCGTCTAATGCACTGAGAGAAAAAACGTTGTAAAATCAAAAATAATGCTAATGAATCAAATAAAATCAAACATGTTTTGGCCTCATTAATGGTCATAATTGAATTAATAAGATATCTATTGATTTT